AGCCCGAAGGCCGGTATTCATTCATAAGAAGAATGGAAGAGTTAAAGTATATATTACAATATGGCCGAGGCTGAGAGTACACAAATATCCATTACAAACAAAAAGAAAAGGTGTTCAAAAAGCTACTAAGTGCAAGTGTTTCCTTCAGCTGTTGCCTCCTCGGCGGGCTTCGAGGTGACCTCCTCCCCGATGGCAGCCTCGGCCTCACCATCACCGGATCCCCCCATCATCATGGAGTCATGGATCACAGGCCTCTCTTCGCCCGGGGGGAGGGGATTTCTCACATCTGGCTGCAAAGGAGGAAAGCCATACGCCGAGGGGTCAAATTCCTCGAGGGAGACTTGGAAGTGCCTGGCAAGCCTCCGATACACTTGATGCTGGGTGAAGAATTCACCCCCTTGGTAATAACTGTCTCCCCTCTCCGCCATCCAGTCTCCCCCAGGGCCCTTCACCCAGTCATCTACCGATGACTCCACGACCGAGGCCACCCACTGCTGCCTATCTTCGGCTTTCCAGCCCTCGGCCATGAATGCGGCAACAGCTTCCTCTCGGGCTTTGGCGACGGCCTCGGCCTTGGCAAGCTCTGCCTCCTCGACGGCTTTCTTAGCAGCCCTCTCGGCCTCAAGCCTGGCCTCCTCCACGGCAGCCTTGGCCTTCAGCTCAGCGCCCTCGACAGCTTTCCAGAGATCTTCCTCCAGCAAGGCCATCTGCTTTACAACATCAGAGTTCTTCAGGATGAGCTCCTTCATCTCCCGATCCTGCTCTGCTTTCTGGAGGCGCCACTGCTCGAGTCTCTGAGCATGCTCCCCGAGGGCTACACAAGCCTGATAGACAACAGACGGAGGGGTTAGATTAGTATGGACAAAGAATTAAGGGTTAAAACAAAAAGAGAAGGAGGAAACTTACAGCTAACGAAGATCGAAGGATCTTGCTCTCGAGGGCTGCATCATGGTAGGTCGAGAGGGCAGCCTTGTCCATCGCCGAGGTCATCCCCCTCAGGAAAGCCTTCGGCTCTGCTGAGCCGTGTAGCACAGAAGCCCCCAGGGCCAAGGAAAGCTGCAAGATCTCCCCGGGGGGGGGGGGGGGGCTTCGCAAGGGAAGATCGCCTTGGGCTGTTGTCGCAGCACCAGCTGGGGGATCCGGAGAAGGGCGATCCTCAATGATCACCAAGGGGGCATTCTGGCCGACAGTGCCCCCTGTAACCCTCTGCTTCTTAGCCGGGGGCTCAACCGCCTTGCTCCCCTTTTTCTTTTTGGTGCCCCCCTCGGCACCCACAGTAACTCCCTCCGCAGCAGAGGGCTCCGGAGTCTCCCTTTGAAAGAAGGCTTCCACAGGCGGTTGGACCGAGGGGTCCTTCTTCTGGGCTAGGGCCTTGCCCTTCTTTTTCTTCAGAGCGAAGAGCTTACCAGCGTCCATATTCACACCTGCCAACAAAAAAAAGGGGTTAGACCCGAAGGGCAAGGAAGCAAAAAAAAAGAGAGAGGAAAAAAACGCTAAGTACAAAACAACAAGCCCTCGGCTACTACCTCCTGCCAGCACAGGATACTTCTCGTCTGTCTCACCGAGGAAGCGATATCTGCAGAAGCCGAGGGCGAAAAGCTCCTTGTCAGCAGTAAAGTCCTTAATGGACACTTGCTTCGTACGACCCTCCGGGATCTTGGCTATTATCAAGCCATCCTTCTCCAGAGCAGCATTCCCAACCTTCGGATGCCGACGGAAGCGATCCCGAAGTTCCATCGGAAAGGGGCTCTCGGCAATTCTGACATAGCTCCACCGCTCCTTCCAGCCTTTGTTGAACGAGGGCGCTTCTGTGAATAATTTCCACCGGGCTACCTGTTGCAGATTGGCGAAGCCCTCGGCGTTCGCGTGACCCCCTCAGCAGAGGTTGAAGCTTTGAAAAAACAAGTCCAAGCGGGGGGTCACCCCTCGGGCCCGACAGAGATTCAGGAAGCCCGCCACGTAGGAGTGGCTGTTAGGCGTCAACTGGCAGGGGACCAAACCCACATACCGAAGGTATTCCCGAAGGAATGGGTGCAGGGGGAATCGGAGCCCCATTGATACCGACAGGATGTGCACGGCGATGCAACCCTCGGGAGCCCGGGAAAGCACATCATCAGGGCCTGGCGCCACCACCACGGCCGAAGGCCCCACGTGCAGCTGAGTCACATACATATCTTCCCTGTCAGCCTTCGACCCTATCTCGAGGGCAGCAGTATTCAGCCAGGAATACCCCTCGGGCACATCTATGGGCTTCCCTTGATCAGCAACAACACACTTCTTCTCGGGAGCAGTTTTCTTCTTCTCCTGTTTTTTCCCGGGGGCCACTCTTATCGGCGTCGGGTTGAGGGGCCGAGAGCTCCCTGCCTCACCAGCACCCCGAGGGGGAAGGACAACCACTTTCACCCTCATCCTCTCCTTCTCTTCCTCCTCCTCTGCAACTTGTACGGCGAGGGCAAGGTCTTCATCCTCCGCCTCTTGCTCGAAGCCCTCGGCTTCAACTTCAGCCATCAACTCTTTCTGCACCTCCATCGCCATCGCGACATCCTCCTGGGCCGAGGGCTGCTCGCTCGAGGACCCCGCATCCGAGAAGCTCTCCTCTTCCATCGAGGGATCCCTCGATATGTCTTGAGAGTCACTTTGGGAAGACATCTTTCCGCTGGGTCGAGGGATCGGAAACACTAAGTGTTCTAAGTTACAACTCCTAAATCTAAGGCCGCTACAGCTAGCTAAGGAGGGAGAAGGACACGTGGGGAACTGACCTTAAAACAGGAGTTAGATCGAGGGCAGTGTTTCTCTCTCCAGAAAAAATCCGGCAGAGCTTCACTAGCAAGTGATCGCACAGGAGAAGTGGTGCCCGGCCATGGGGTATTTATAGGCGCCTGGATCCAGGCTTGGGCCTGGAAACCGGGCCTCCGGTTGAACTGCCATCATTACGAACCGTCGAACTGACCAATCAGTGACGCCCGCCCACAGGCAGCCAACAAGCACGCACCACGTGGAAGCCCCCCCAACGGCTATATTTTGACGTTACATATTCCGACGGCTATATTTCCAACAGCTATATTCTGGGAGCCTCCGGCTAAACTCAGCACCCGCTCCATCATCAACCAAGGAACAAGCCCCCGAGCTTTTTACTTCACTCCACTTCATCAAGAAGAGCCCCCGGGTACACTTACCCAAAGACGCTCCCGGTTTGTGCCCCACACACTACATAACAAATGCCTTCGGGCTCACTCCTTCAGAAGCCCACGGCTTCATAACAGGCCCACCCCTCGGGGATCCCCCCTCAGCACTTTGAGGGCCGGGTAGCCCCCGAGGAGTACGCCTCATTGACAGACAGCCTACGGCACACAGGTAATGGGACCCCTCGGATACCCTCCTCACCAACTAATCAACAAACAGGGGACACCCCGGTAACACTTCAACTACTACTCGCATTCATTACGCCCTCGATCCCCAGATTGAGGGACTCCCCTTCGGCACCTCCCAGGCTATCAACAACAAGCCTCCGGCTAATCAACACATGAGCCCTCAGAACAAGGAAAGCCTTCGGCATCAGCATTATTCTCCATTTCGAACCAGGGCTTCACGTTTTCGATTCATCGTTGGGGGAATTCGGTGCACTCTTTTTCCCTCATTAGGATTTTTTCCCACAGGGTTTTTCCTAATGAGGTTTTTAACGAGGCATCCTTCCAAAATGAAACGAAAAGCGTCAGCCTTCGGCCCAAAACAAGCAACATGATTACCCTACTCCTTTTCACCACTTTGCAAGTGCCTCAAGGAGTGGGGGACTGGGGAACCCCCTCGGGAAAAACCACAAAAATCACAAACATGACCCCTCAAGTCCCGACATGTGGGTAACTGAGGGACTGCCCTCGGCAGAATAAACAAACAACAAACTACCCACAACTCTACAAACTACAACGGAACAACGGCAGAGGACAAACACAATTACTCCTTTTCCCTCAAGTACCTTTCGGCAAAAGGATTGAGGGACTCCTGATGGAGTATATGGCCCGGGAACCCCCGGCCCACAGACTTCCACTACTCCAATAAAGGCCCAATAGGCCCAGGAAGCACAACAAGCCCAAATCACGGCGCCCAAGGTACCAAGCAGCCCACTACGCGCACCAGGGGGAGCCTTCGGGCCATTGGCCGAAAGCTCTAACTCTCACAGAAGGGCCAAGACAGGAAAATGAAGTTACTGGGCAGAACGGCGAAAATCAGTAGCCCTCGGCATCTGGAGCCCTCGACACTAAGGGGGTCCCCTGTACTCAGAGCCCTCGGCTAGTCATCTACAGCCGAGGGCGCCTTTTCCGACATAATATCCGCTCCACATGCGTATGGATCACCGTACCAAGTACGACGTCCCATCCAACAGCCGCATTAAATGCGGCCACATGCGGTTGCCAGCGCCAACCAGTTGAGGTGACCTCTCGGCCAATGGGCGCTTGACACGTGTCCCTGTCCGGCATTTATTGCTACTATAAATAGCACCCCATTTCCCCGTTGTAAACCACGCTAAAAACGCTGAACACTTTCTAATATACTTCCTCTCTCTATACTCATTTGCTCTGACTTCTCTCTAGTTATTCTCCGTAATAACCCCTCGGATAAGCTACCCCCCGGGTACACTATCCATCAATAGGTAAGATTGATTTTGTGGTATCCTATGTACTGGGATATGCACTTTTTTTGTAACATTAACTTGTTATTTTCTTGGGTGTTAATATATACTTACATTTCATCCAAAAAAAAAAACTTCCAAATAGGTTTGCCACACAATTTAAGATAGTGGGTATTGTGTAGTGAAGAGTTGTGGAGTGAAGAGAGAAATGTGTAAGAAATGTTGTGAACCACAAATTCTTTACTAAAAAGGGAAAGTGAAAATTTTAATTGGAACGGACGAAAAAGGAAAGTTGAAAGTTTATTTAGGAACGGAGGGAGTATCCGAGAATCCACAGGACACATACCCAAGTACGCAACAATATCAAGCCACGATAATACTCCGTATGAAATACTACATAGTTATTATAGCTAGTAAAATTAAGAGGTACCATATTTCGCCATTGGGATGCAGGGCCGGCTTGGCACATTACGAGGCCCAATGCGAATCACACAAATGAGGCATTTTATTAAATAAAATGCATAGATCTAATGTGTAGACGTATAGTTTGCTTTTATTTGGACTTGAGCCGTTCAGTGTATAAAGGTGTTTCAAACATGCAAATGGGATTCTATTAATAATTTAAACAATTACTTTATAGAGTGCTCTTCCGGTCAGAAATTCCTGACCGAAACCGCCATCCGGACGGCGGCGTTTGGGGCCCTTCCCGGTGAAATGTTTTGATGAAATGTTTCTGACATGTTCTTCATGAAGTCTAGTTTATCCACAAAAAAGTTCAGCTAAAAATTCAATCGGGAAGGCCGTCGTATGATTTTTGAAAGATAACTGCGCCGGAATATACATATAAAACGCAGTTAACTTTCAAATATTATTTGATGACCTTCCCGATTGAATATTTATCTGAATGTTTTCTTAGATAAACTAGATTTTATGAAAAGCATGTCATAAAAATTTCATCAAAATAATCAACCGAGAAGACCCTGAAACGCCACCGTTCGAACAACGGTTCTGGTCTAGAGTTTCGGACCTGAATATTTCTCTACTTTATATACATGTACTATTTAAATTTTTAAAAAACGGGCCTTCTATTTTTGGAGGCCCTGTACAGTAGCCCAGCTTGCACAGCCTCATCTATGGCCCTGTTTGGATGCCACCAAGCCGTATGAGTGTTGAACGTTTTTAAGACTACAATGTGAACATGTTTTGGAAGAGGTAGCTGGCCGGGAGAACAAACAGAAAACCAGCAGCAATGATATGGTAACAACCAAGAGAGTAAAAAAAATACAACCATGCTTGATGTACACACTCTTGTACACACCTTATACACACCATGTTTGTAAAGCTTTTTTTTGTCTGTGAACCCGGTTCACATACAATATTTTGTTTGTGCAAAACATTGTTTGTGAATCGATGTTCACTGACAAAAAAAAAGCTTTCACAGACATAAGTGTTTACAAAAATGTGTATAAGAGTGTGTACAAAAATCATTTTTGAAAAAAACAACGGCACGGGCGCACGGGTAGCGATGTGTTTCATTCTCTCTGACATTTTTGGGGCTGCAGTGTCGGACGAAATACTTTCTTGAGATTGTTGGAGATATTTGTCGAAACCTGCAAAATAATGTTAGAAAAATAAAATGACTCCAGACGCGTTAGACGTTATCCTCAAGAAAGTATTTCACGACTCCGGTAACCGGTAATCTTTCTTCAAGATATAACGAGCATTTCGGCGAGTTTGCAGGACACACAATCTACGAGGATATAATTTTAATTTATGTAATCCAGTGGTTTTTTGTGAAGTATATATTCTTATGTATAAAGCTTCGTCCAAAAATTTTGGACGTAGGTATTTCTACTCAAACCGCATTAATAGCACCCAATTTATAGAATAGAATTTAAGTTGATGTTGATCCTATTAAAAAGGAGATATTTAAGGTTGGCCAAGTATAAGCAAGACATGTACACTCATTAAAAACAATACTTGTTCAACGCTTGCAAAAGTCCGAGCGGTTACGCAGAAAAGTTCAAAACAATTAAATTATTTAATATAGAAATAAAAATGGTCTAAACTATTACCCAAAGGTTTTGGTTTATTTGAAATACATTAAAATTTCCAACATCATCTTCTAAGCACATTTAGTATACTAAATACTGTATATACTTCCGTTACATTAGTACGTAATATAATTTAAGTTAAATTGGAACTAATGTTACGTTAATTCTAAGCTATGTCTTGGAATCCTACGTAATTAAAACTTTCCAAAGGTATGCAATTCAAAAAATAAAATTTCACATTTATTTTAAAGTGGTATAAGTTTTTTATAAGTTTTTTATTTGTACTCCAAATGTTATTCACTACTAGAGTTTTGGGTCTTTTGTAACAGCAGATTTCGTGACCTTTGTTCCAAAAAACTGTTACATTCGACTTATTGTAATAGTTTCTCATCGTTACATTCGCTCGCGTTGCATTTGCTCTAATGTAACGGCTTGTAACGAAATTTATTACCAACTGTAATGGTCCTTACAACAATGATATAAATGTTACAATAGATTGTGTAAAATGTAACGGTTTTAACATGCACAAGGGTAACAATTTTGAAAATATGTTGACCCTGATTAATTATGTAATGTAACAGTTTATTTATTTGCACACATGCAGCTCGGATGTATTTACACACTTATAGCCATGAATGTAATACCTGTCAATTTAATTATAATTACCTACAAAAGTGAAACAAATGTTGACTCCAACATCAAATCCTAACAAACCAAGCAACTTAAGTTGTACACAAGCATTCAAAAGTTAAACATCCATCAAGTTCAAAACAATTCCAATGTAACCAAAGTAACTATGTTAAAAGCTCTTTGACAGAAACACGAGTTTAATATCAAGTGCGCTCCAACAGAAGATTGCCCATTTGACCCATCTACCTCACGTCTTGATGATTGGTTTTTTGAGGACACACAACTCTTGAATGTTCAGACTTATCCTACGGTTAGCTGCCTTTATTTCTGAGAGTACCATGGACGCTATTTCTTGTGTCAGCTCTTCTTTCATGCTCGGAGCCAACTGTGCTTTAATTTGACACTTTGCAAGAACTCATCTGGCATTATGTAGCTAGACTGCTTATTGTTAGATTTCTTCATCTTAGACTTGGTTACGCCTCACCACGAAGGCGAACACGCCCATTCTGCTCAGCACCGGGGTAAGTCTTTGTCAAACAGTCATCATCCATAAATCTCATCCTAGACTCTTTATACATCATGAACCGTCCAAACAAGGTGGTGTTATATATTAGCCTCTATGTTCCGCCTGGACCGAACGGGGCTTTGAACAGGGAAAGGATATTAGGGTATGGTAGGAATACTAGTGAAATTTACTCCAAAAAGACCATTCTTGCTCTTCTTATTCTTTTTTCTTTCCCTTATATAAAGGCTATAACTCCGTTCTTCATTCCCTCCCACATCAAACCAAAACCACTACAAACCTTCCCCTTTCCCGAATGATTCAAGATTTCATTCATCAACATCAACATGAAGTTTTCCTTTTATGCTGTGGTTATTCGTCTCCATTATTCCTTGAAGAATGATTCAAGATTTCAAGAATTCAGTTCCACATCGAAATGGGTAATATGGAGGTGACAGAAGAGAGAGAGCACAAGTGGGTATTTCCGACATGATTTCTGTGCTTGAATCCATGTGTGTTCGCTCTCTTCTGTCACCCCAATCTCTTTGTTTCTCTCTTCATCCTTCGTATATTTTTCTCTAATCTCTTGATTATTTTCTCTTATTGGTCTACGGATTTAGGAGTGTTTGGAATTCTTTTTGTCTGTGCTTTTTTTTTTAAATCAGAAGTAACATCAGAATCGGTTTTTCAGAATCTCATCTTCCTCATCTTCTAAAAAGTGATTCTAAGAGCAATTATGGGTACGCAAAAGTATTTTTGCATTCCCCCCAAACACTCTAATGTGTGCTTCTGTTATTCGAAGGAGTAGATCGCACGACAAGAAATACGAAATTGGCACGGATTTGACACAAATTTGTCGATATTTTCGTGCGAAATAGTTCGAGCCAATCTTTTTTTGACACGGATTTGGTATATCCTAGCCAAAATCGCTGCCAATTTGAATAAGCAGACCCAAACACTCCCTTAGTGATGATTAATTTTATTTTCGAGTTTTGTCATGTTTTTCCTAACCCTTGTTCTTTTGAGATTGAGAAGATGGATCAAGGCTAAAATATAAGGTGGTCATCATGCGGCTTTTTTCCTATACTTTGATTTTGTCGATCGATAAAAAGACCTGTCGGAGGATAAGCTTGTTCAGAATTTATGGGGGGGGGGTCTTTTCTTATATTACGGGAAAAGTTAACATGTAAATTTGTAAATCAAAATAATGGGATTTTCCATAGGATTTCTAGGAATGAGGGATTCGGAAATGGCAATTCTGAATGGAAGATGAGCAGGGTTTTTGGGTGGGAGGGATAAGGGCAAGGTGAACGTAAAATCTCATTTTTTCTTTTAAATGATGTAACTTTTTTATATGTATTCCAAATTTTATAAAAAATATACCAAAATGCATAATTTTTTATGACCTTTTTAATGACATCAATATTCCATATATAAAGTTTGATTTTTTTTTGACGTTTTAACAGTAGAAAGTTTTCGGATCCAAAACAGAGTTACAATAACTTTTTTTAGGTGTTTCAATTAATTTTAAAACAGAGTTTTAATTTTAGTATTTGGATCTATTTAAGAAAAATTTTAAATATGAATGTGCAGAACCATAAATTAATTGTTTTAATATGAAAGTGACAAAGTTTTTTGAAACAACAAAAAAAAAAGTTGGCAAAGTCCAATGGGACAGAGAGAGTATAATTTTTGTAAAAATCGGAATACAAATAAAAAAGTTACTATCACTGATTTTAATTTTAGTTTTAATTTTATACAAATAGGTAATAGTCTAAATAATATCTCTTTATTAAACTAATTTCCTGTAAATTAATCTTAATGGGGAGTTTTACTTGGACTAACAAGTGGGTATTTTTTCCCATTAGAAAATGACAAATCCTAATATTCATTTGCCATTCGGAAGTCAGCCATCCAAACTTTTTCACCATTCGGAAGTCAGCCATCTGAATCATTTTTAATTCTAAACTCTAATAATTCATTCGGAACCGTGGCTTCCGAATCCCGTATTTTAATACCCTAATCGATAGTCCCGTGATTTGGGATGGAGTGTCAGAAACTCCACATATTTCGTCATTTCCTCTTTATGGGGTCTGATAAGTCCGTATTTAGACACACATTTAATGCGTGTTGGGGTCGGATTTTGATGGTTTTCCTAGATTTAAGGTGTTACAAGTCTCAATTTTAGCTCAAGTTTTGTTTACCGGACGGTTGTTCGAGTTTTGTGTTGTTTGGAGTCAAAATCAGGGAATTTGAGCCCAACACCGGTGCTTGAGGAGCAAACTAGATGATTCGAGAAGCATTCAAGAGTGAATTGAGAGCATTGGAGGTCACGATTAAGATTTGAAGGGAAAAAAAATCTAGGATTGGCTACGGGATCAAAAGAAGACAAAGAGAGCTTGAAAACGGTGTTCAGGATGACCTTCTGTCAATCGTTAAAGCATACTCCGGAAAAAGGACACGATTCAAGTTGAATCGGAAAGCCATCTTCAAGGGCTACAAATCATACGAAGACATTATTCCGAGAATATGAAAGGAAGAAGGTGAAAACAGACGATGAAGTCAGATGCTCCCTATTGCGATTTCAGAATGAGACATTCCACCATTTTATTCATATGTCTTGATTGGATGATTCAAATCCAATTAGGAAAATTGGGCTGGATAGAGAACTGCATTAACTACAACTTTCATAAAGAAAGTTTTGTCAAATTCGGACTAGATAAGCCGGAAACCGCACTGGTAGACACGCACGCGTGCGTGGCAAGGGACGCACGCGTGCGTCCAACGATTTTACGCGTTTCTCTGTCGGACGCACGGACGCAACGCACGCGTGCGTAGGCGCCGTGCGTACCTAATTTGTTTCCTAATTTAGGCCAAATCACTATGTTTCCTATAAATATCACCCCCTTAACCCTAATGAAGGGGGATGGAACTTTAGAGAGAGATTAAGGACGAGATTAGAGAGCTTTTTCAGCCAGGTTTTTCAATTCCTTAACATTCTTTTTAAATTCCTACTTTTTTATTAATGACAATTAATTCTATTTATCTCAATTCTATTTATTCTTCAATTATGAATAGGGAGTAGTTTTAATTAGGGATTTGGGGTTGATGAAGGGCTAATCATGATGTATGGTTAGGTTCTTGATGGTGTAAATTGCATGAATGCCGTTTAATTTGTGCTTGAATAATTTAATTGATATCTTTTGTAACCTAGATGGCCACTAGAATTACAATCACATGTAGAATGAATTAAGAGGGATCTAATTTGTTCTAGGACACATTCACACACACTTAATCGTTCGCTAAGAGATTAGTAGCGATTAAGGGGCCGTAAGCTCGTTCGTCTTGGCAACAATTTAGGATCCTATCACATGAGAGATTAGCCTGGTCCCCTAAATTATTGTACTCTACGCCGCGAGAGCGGTAAGAACTTAGTATTGATTAGCTAGGCTCAATTTAAATAAATTCATGTAGTTAAGCCTGATCTGCCAGAAATCTGATTACCCCGGAATCAATCCATGTTCCCTTCGTCGTTAATTAAGAAGAACCCAAATATTTACTTTTAGTCGTTTATTTGCAATTTTAGTTTCCTCAAGCAACCAAATCTCGCATGACCGCATTTGTTTTATTTATTCTTTATCGCTGATTT